AAGAGCAGCGGGAAAGAGAATTGTTGGGGTGGTGGGGCAGGGGAGTTGGGATGCATTGCCAGCCTTCAATGCACATGAATTTTGGTCTATGCTTACAGTGGAAAACCTAACTGATAAAACCAACATGAAGGCTGGTCAACATTAACATTCTAGCTGTGTGTATCATACAATTTTGTATTTTGGGAGAACGTGCTGGTAATTTAGATAAATATGGAGTGTTTGATGGATTGAAGGTCTTAAGTATGATTGTTTTCCAATTTATTTCTCTCCTAACCCTCTACAAGGTCCAACCAAGCTCTTCAAACATTGTGCAATGGTGTGTATAATAACCCCATTTAGAGACAAAGCGTGCAATTCTATTATAAAGAGAATCTATCTTATGCAACAGAGACTCATTAGCTGTCCAATGTATACTGTCTCCATAAGCCAGCAGTGGCAGAACCAGCTGCCTTGTAATACATATCCTGTCCTTCTTCATTAAGCCACATCCATTTCTTTTTAAACCTACTCAATTAATTTGTCACTGGGTTAGAAGCACCATATGTCAGTGAAACATCATAAGAAAATCATGAATAGTTTATCATTTCCCTACCAATACAAGCTTGCATCTTCAGGTTGGCATTTCTTTATTTATTCCAGTTTGTTCACAACACACATTACTATTGCTCTGCAGCATACTTCACTCTTTAAATTATTTTATGAAACAGCTATACAGGAATAAAGCTGGACTATTACCACTGAGAGTCTCTTAGCTAAGCATGTCTTCCAAGCATTAGCCATACTATGTCATCCTTGAACTATTCTTTTCCTTCCTAGACATCCCTTTCTCTTGGTTGGACAGACTATCAGGCATTATTATGGATTAGTTTACTACAAGACTCTCTGCCAAGTTATGCATTGTCAATATGGGCTGAGTACAGCGGCATGGTAAGAAATTAATTACAGTATTAGCTTCAAATAATGCCGTCATTACATAGTGACAATTTGTAATCCCATATAGGAAACTCCAGATTCAGAGTCACTCAAGACTTCAGGTGCTTGTATTTTATCTAACAATAAATTACAAGTCTACATTCTGAACAGTATATGCAAATAAGAGTCATCTGACTACAATTCAGAGGAAGAAACTGAGTTGCTCCCAGACTCCTTTCCTCACCAACCCACAGTTTTCTATTCACTGTCTATTCATACTCCTTTTGCATCTTCAACTGAAAACAGGAGGTAGTTTACATTCAGTGTGCACCTTAACACCTCTTCTTTCCCAGCTTGCCTACTCTAAGCAATAACTGACTGAGAGGAACTAATTTATTCTGTTTTAATCTGAATCTGCGTTTGGCAAATGCCAGTGCATTGATTCTGCTCACCCTGGATCCATCAATTTGCTTGGGCTCGA